CCGGCAAAGACACGATGGCCGAATGGCCTCTTTCTGTGCTGTATAATTCTAGGATTCTAGGATTCTATGATTGAGTGACCACATTTTGATTATTTTTACCTTTCTTTTGAAAAAAAAGGTATGTACTGTACTTGCCCTTCACAACCCTTAAAGATGAGCCTTTTCGTTCCGCTGCATCTGGGGTGGGTTTGAAATCATCATTCTGGGTTTGCTTTCTCAATCTCATTTAAATCTCTTAACATTCTATCAACCGCGTTAAGGTTCCCCCCCCACCCTTTTAGAGCCATGTCTGAGGAGCCCTTTGCATGCTCTTGAGTCTGCACTTGGCTCTCCGCCAAAGGCATTGTCACGAGCTGTGTGGGGGTGGGGCTGGAAGCTGTTCGAGGCACGAGACCTACAGTGCAAAAGAGCAGTGATGGAAAAAGTGACAGTGTCTGGATCTCGGCTAAGGGTGTGTGTGTGTGTGTGTGTTTTGCATGTTCCTTCCCTGCAGATGCAGTCATGCTTTTGATGTGCTTGTGTGTGTGCGCTTGCAATTAACTTGCCGTGTTTACAGACTGCAAACAATCCTTGCTATTTAGCTAAACCAATAATAGCTCCACCAGAGTTTGACAGGAGATATTTGTCTGATAGGGTAAGAAAAGTTGTGCATTTTTCATTAGCTCCCTATCACTTCGAAGCATCACAAAATTATTATCATGGAATTAGTAGGCAAGTGTTCAAAAAGAGAAGGGAGTTTCTCCCTGTGTCCTGGCCAACAAGCCATCAAATAAAATTGGTCTCCCCTATATAGCTATTTGTGGGACACAGTTGTGCACAAATTGGCTGCCACATTTGCCTACAAATACACATCACTACTCCTCACAGCAAAATCCTGTGAAGATCTTTGAGACGTTTCGATGACAAAATAAGTTACTTTATCAAATGCAAGAATTATTATTATAATATTATAAATCAGTGCTTTTTTAAGCAGACATTTATTGCACTGTACCCATGTGGTCAATGACCAATTTAGCCAGGACACCTGGAGAAACTCCCTTCTCTTTTCCAATAGTATCGCAAGGTGTTTATCACCTGAACAGGCAGACGGGTTGTCACATTAAAGTGTCAAATGAAGGATGACACCTCCGACAATGCAGTTTTTTTGGTCAGTCGAGTGTCTGATGCGGAAACCCATCGCCGTGCTTAAGAGTCTCCAAGGCTGAGAATTCCAAGTATTCCACCTACACATGGAAACCCCAGAGATGGAGTCCTGTAGCTCAGTGGTTAGAGCACTCACTTTGCAAGTGAGAGACCTGAGTTCAATTCCAGGCAGAGGGCGAAACCTTGGGCAAGTTTCCTTACTCCACACAGAGCCTAATAATAATCCTCCAAAACAAAAAACAATAATAAAATTGGTCATTTTCAATCTACGACTGTTTGTGGGACATTGCTGTGCGCAAGTGGCTGCCGCATTTCGCCCACAAATATACGGTCAATTCACTTTACAGTCTATTCTGTGAAGCGCTTTGAGACGTCTAGAAGACGTGAAAAGCGCTATATCAAATGCAAGGATTATTATCATATCAAATGCAAGGATTATTATTTAATTAGATTATTTCCTACCCAACAGGATATCTAAATCAAGCTCATTACGTTTGTTCTCCTTGTCCAATCATGGTCATGGGTGATACGTGACCTCGTTACCATCAGGTATTCACCTCACGGCTGTCTGAATCTCTGTCTGTCTGTCTGTGGGACCTGTGCTGTGTGCGAAATGGTTGCTGCATTTGGTTCTTACAAAAAAAAACGCTCGACAATAACTGCATGTGTAGCACTCCCGAGACGTTTCCGTGGGATCAATCAGTTTGGTGTTAAAAAGAAACATAGCTCTTTCTTGAGGCAGTCAAGCTAAAGCACTATATCAAATGCAAGGATTATTACTTATCATTACTGTGTGCTAATTGGTTGCCACATTTGCCAACAATCACACAGTGCAACACAGTCACTGCACTTTACAGTAAATCGTTTGAAATGTTTTGAAATTTCCCCAAAACTTGAAAGATGCTACACCAAATGTAAGGGTTATTATTATTATTATTAATAAGGCATTAAGGTGCTCTCCAGCTCCCAACTCTTTCCTGAGTTTAACATCCAAAACTCTAGACGAGCTGCCCTCACTAAACTGAACCAGTCCTGACAAGCACTCTTGTTGTCATTGATTATGTATGAATGTGGCTTTGTTTTCATTAGCATGGTCAGTTTCTAATCTCGTCCTTCTTCTATGAATCGGTGACTGTGAATGTTTGCAGAGTCCAGCCTCCCTTTCTTTCCACCTCGCCCCTCAAAAGTACTGAGTTATTCAGCTGGGACTATGTCACCCGACAACACAACAACTTGCATTGATACAGCGCCCTTCACGCAGGGCAGCGTCTCGGAGCGTTGTAATAAAGGTTAAAAGACCCCCTCTATACTTGGCAGCTGGCACTCAGTTGCTGGTGGGGGTGCGTTAAGTGCTGTCTGAACAGAGAATGCAGGGGGAAATAAGACTGAGCAGGGTGGGGTGAATATGAACATAAAGGTGGCGTATTCGTAAGGTGGGCAGGGGGCTGAAACCAATTCTGTTTCAGAAGGGCTGGGTCCTGCTAGTACAAAGACAAGTCATTGGCTACAGGAAAGGAGGTGGAGAAGACAATGGTGGAGGGGGAGGTACAAAAATAATAATAATCCTTGCAGGTCTTGAAGCGCTTCACAGGATATACTGTAAAGTGAATTGACTTTATATTTGTGGGCGCACAGCAGCGTCCCACAAACAGTTGTGGATTGAGTGACAGCATTATTATGATTATGAATATTTTTTTCTCGGTTTTGAGATCATTTTTGTTAAAAAGATAATCTTAAAACAGAACTTTTCCCTCCTTCTAATTAGAGTTTTTTTCTGGTATAGAATGTTCTTAATAATGTACAAGGCGCTATATGAATGTAATTTTATTGTTGTTGTTTTGGAAGCTGTGTGATTGTGCAGTTTGGTACACTGTCGCTGTAAGGTTGGCTTGAGTTAAGTTTAGTTGGACGCTGATGACTGGGCAACGAACCAGAGCTGCTGTAACTCCTTTTATTGTGGGTTAAAGTGACCCTTCGGCTCATGGTGCCAAATAACTGAACACCCTCTGCCTCCCAACCCCCACAGTAACTTCCATCCAAAACCACCTCAGCCTTAAGGCTGGAACAAGACTGGATAGTGTGTGTGTGTGTGTGTGAGAGAGAGAGACAGAGAGAGGGAAAGAGATAGAGGGTTGGTGTCCATGCATGTGTGTGAGAGAGGGTGTGTGTGTGTGTATCAGAGATAGTGTTTGTGTGTTTGGTATGAGTATGAGAGAGGGTGTGTGTGTGAGAGAGTGTGTGTGAGAAAGGGTGTGTATGTGTATCGGAGAGAGGGAAAAGTTGGTGTCCTTGCATGTGTGTGAAAGAGGGTATGTGTGTGGAAGAGATGCTGTGTGTATCAGAGAAAGAGTGTGTGTTTATCAGCAATAGAGAGAGTCTGTGTGCGTGTGAGAAAGAGAGTGAGAGTCTGTGTGTGTATGATAGAGGGACAGTTTCCTATTGTGAAGCACTTCACCCTAAATAAATGGCATTGTATTGTATTGCAGTTGGCTTTCACTGGCAGACATCCCGGCAAAAATGCGTCGTGGGAAAACAGATTAAACATGTCTAACTGCACTATTTGAATATTTAGAGCTAAGCGCTTGGTACCTGAGCAGACGGTTAGTGAAGCTTTGCACATGGAGACAAGCTGGATCCAAAGACACTGAGATCCCCTCCAGAGAATGAACATTCCTGATTTACCTACCTAATTTACACAAAGCAACTTTTTTGAGTATTGACGCCCTAGTTACCAGTGATCGTGGAGTCCTGTAGCTTAGTGGTTAGAGCACTCGCTTCCAAGCAAGAGGACCTGGGTTTGATTCCCAGGCAATGTGAAACTTTGGGTAAGTTTCCTTGCTCCACATGTCTCTGTTTACCTAGCAGTAAGTAGGAACCCAGTTGTTAGTCGATTGGCAGATCACTTTTCCGGGGGTAATGATCCCTTGAAAGTAAATAAATAATTTGGTCACTCAATCCTTGGCTGTCTGTGGGACACTGCTGCATGCAGTTGGCTACCGCACAAGTTAAATTGCCACAATTCACAATTCACTTTACAGTATATATTGTGTGAAGAGCTTTGAGACGTCTTGAGACGTGATAAGGCGCTATATCAAATGCAAGGATTATTATTATAAACTTGTCACCAGCTGTTTCTGGGCTTATGGGCATTTGCTTATGTAAATGCCAGGTTTATTGCTGCCTGTGCCAATGTCAAGTGTTGCAGGTGTGGCTGCCAGCTCAGCAGTTTTCTGGCTCATCGGCAGGACTTGGAAGGGCAGACCAGTCACTGGGGCAGGGAGTCATCCCACTCAGCTCCTGCTAACCCTGTAAGCCAAAGCCCTAGGGTGGTCCTAGCTGGACAAGCAGTGGGAAACCTTGCCAGACAGCAATATCAATGGCAAGCTATGCGGTTTTAGCTGGTTAGACTCCAGCAGTTACCCCAACGCACACTCTGGGGTCCCCAAGCCTTGGCTCTTGCCAACCTGTGCCTAATACTTTCCAAAATTAGGTAAACAGGATGTGTCCCTCCAGGGAGAGAGTGCGCATTCCATTCCAACAATCTATCTCTGGGATTTCCATGTGTAGGTGGGATGCAGGGAAACCTCAACTTTGTTTGGATAGTCTTAAGCACGGTGATGGGTTTCCGCATGTGTCAGACAAAACAAAAAAGGCTGAGCAAAAACAAAAGCAGCTCCTGGTAGCATATCACCATATCAGCATTGCAGGGTGTTGGTGCCAGGTTTCATTTGTCTCTGGTGCCAAATCAGATGTTGGAGGCTGTTTGTGCCCAGAGTGGTTGCTCCCTGGTGTTAGTGTAACATGTTGTAGGGCAATGCCTATGGTGGTTTGCTTAACAGTTATCTCTTTCTGTTCAGAGTAAATCATGGAGGAAGATCAAGAACGTGGTGCAATGGTCGCCGCTTGTTATGTCCTTCAGAAAGCGCTACCCATGGATACAGCTAGCGGGACATGCAGGTGAGTACTGTGCCATCTCGTAATCCCACACCAGGCTCCGTGAACCCATCACCCCCACCCTCGCCCGGCTCCAATGGCTCCCCATCCCCCAGAGGATAGAGTTCAAAATCCTCATCCTCGTCTTAAAAGCTCTCCAGGGCCTTGCTCATTCCTACCTCTGTGACCTGCTAACCCCATATCAATCTGTCCACTCCCTCCGCTGCACGTTTCCCACCTGGCCCGCCCCTCACCACCGGCGGTCGGGCCTTTAGCCACTCTGTCTCCACCCTTTGGAACTCCATCCCACAATCCCTTCGCCTTGCTCCCTCCCTTGTCTCCTTCACGGCACGTCTCAAGATCCTCCTCTTCTACCGTGCCTTTGGCTGCCCTTCTATACAAATGTCATTTGTTGTTGATGTTGTTGTTGGGGGGAAAGGCACTCTCAAACCAGGTTTGGATCCCACCTTTTGCCTCCTCCTCCATTTTCTTTTGCACCTGAAGACCTTTCTCTTTGACCGTGCCTACGGCCACATCATCCCCTCTCCCCCGGCTCGGGGTCAGGCTCAGGGATGCTAATCCACGTGAAGGGCGAAAAATATACAGTCAATTCATTTTACAGTATATGCTGTGAAGCGCTTTGAGACGTCTCGAAGATGGGAAAAGGCACTGTATCAAATGCGAGGATTATTATCATTATCGTTTTTATTGTTATTATTATTATTGTTATATAAAAGCAGGGTGTTCTTGTTGTGGTGTATCCTGATCGCTGTTCTGACCTCTCTCTCTCTTGCCCCGTGCTGTGGGTGATTGCCCTCTTTGTACACAGGCAGCTTCAAGGCCGGGGCCAATGGTAAGATCCTGAAGAAGCATTGTGAATGCGAGCAGCGCTGTCTCGACCGGCTAATGAGAGACCCTCTGAAGCCATATGTGCCAGGTTACCATGGCGACGTGGAGAAGGACGGCGAGAGGTACAACCAGATGGATGACCTGCTCTCCGAGTTCGACCTCCCCTGTGTCATGGACTGCAAGATGGGCGTGAGGTGAGTGCCCGTCTGGGAGCATTCAAATTAATCTGTGTTGAGAATTCAACATCAACTCAGCTCAGTCAATTGTCTGCCGAATAACCACCTTTTAATGTGTCAAGCACATGCTACTGTGTAAGAACATAAGAACATAAGAATTTTCTGGGCGAAGAAGACCAAGGTCCATCTAGTTCACCTTCCATCAACCTGGCAGTTGTTTGACATGTTGTGTCCCAAACTATGTACTGTATCCCCAGATACTATTTTCTACCAGAAATCTATCTAATTTGTTCTCAAAACAAACAACAGTTTTTGCTTCCACTGTCTCCCTAGTGCCAATATGCGCCAATATGATATTTTACGTTTTATCTCGCCTGAGTCTCTAGCACTTTCATTCTGGGTCAGAGAGATTTGGGTTCAAGCCTCAACTTAGACCAGGCTGTTAGTCCTGAGGTCTTGGCTGCCTGTTCAGGTGGATGTTAAAGATCCGGTCATGCTTTTGAAGAAAAAGGAAAGTTTCTCCCAGGGTCTTGGCCAGCAATCCTCTAAATAAATTCAACTGCACACCAGTTATAATAATAATAATCCTTGAATTTGACATAGTGGCTTGTCATGTTTTCGAGACACCTCAAAACTCTTCACAGAATATACTGTAAAATGAATTGACTGTATATATTGTGGGCGAAATGCGGCAGCCAATTGCGCACAGCAGTGTCCCACAAATAGTCGTGGATTGAGTGTCCAAATCATTATTAATAATTAGTATCAATTAATTATTACTTCTGTTTGCGAAAGTTTGTTGTGCAAGGTTGCCTATGGTGTTTTGTCTCCAAATATACAGTTTCCACAATTGACAGCAATTACCTGTGAAGTACTCTGAAATGCCTTGCCGTTATAGTTGCTCCATTAAATGCAAGGATTATTTTTCTCTGCCACACACCTGTTCCCTTTTCGAGTTACCCTATTTCAAGTGTTCTGACCCTGCTTGGCTCTGCAGGACATACCTGGAGGAGGAGCTTGCGAAGGCCAGGAAGAAGCCGTGCCTAAGGAAGGACATGTATCAAAAGATGGTGGAGGTTGATCCTGAGGCCCCAACAGAGGAAGAGCAGAGGCTGCGAGCCGTCACCAAGCCCCGCTACATGCAATGGCGAGAGACGATCAGCTCCACGGCCACCTACGGCTTCAGAATTGAAGGGGTCAAAGTAAGTGTGACCACTGCTCAGCTTGGCCAGGTCTGTAATGTGCTTGCAAGCTAGGCAAGCGAAAGGACCTGGATTCGATTCCCAGGGAGGGCGAAACATTGGGCAAGTTTTCTTACTCCACACGCCTCTGTTTACCTAGCAGTAAGTAGGAACCCGGTTGTTAGTCGATTGGCAGATCGCTTTTCCAGGAGTAAAAATCCCTTCAAAAAATAATAATAATAATAATTTGGTCACTCAATCCATGACTGTTTGTGGGACACTGTGTTTCGCCCACAAAATGTACAGTCAATTCACTGTACAGTATATTCTGTGAAGTGCTTTGAGACATCTAGAAGATGTGATAAGGCGTTATATCAAATGCAAGGATTATTATATGGCTGTAGGTCCAAGCCCCACGTTGGGATCTTTAGGTTGACAGTACAGCGTGACACTCCATTGCAGTATTGTTGGAGAGTGCTGTATTGTCCGAAATGCTGACCGTCAGATGAGACCTTAATCCAAGGTCTGGTCTGCCTGCTCAGAGGAACTTGTTATATACTGCCTCATTAGTCACTATACATATTAAAGTGCTTTCCAGTAATTCCTGTCAAGGCTAGTGATTATTTTGGGAGGTAAGACACAGCAGTCATTTTAGATCATATAAGAACATAAGAACTTGCTCGGCGAAAGAAGACCAAGGTCCATCTGGTTCGCCTTCCACTATCCTGGCAGTCACTTGACAGGTCGTGTCCCAAACTATATACTGTATTTCCAGATATTATTTTCTAGCAGAAATATATCTAATTTGTTCTTGAAGCAATTACATTTTCTGCTTCCACCGTCTACCTAGGGAGTCTGTTCCATATGTTTACTACTCGCTCACTGAAGAAGTGTTTCCACAGATTAGTTCTGAATTTATTCCCCCTTCAACCGCAGGACGTGTCCTCTGGTTCTACTGTTCAGTACAAGATAAAACAGCTTATGCACTACATTATTTATTTCCTTCAGAATCTTAAAGACCATTTTGCGTGCAGTAGTCACATCCAAGAGGTGAATGACCAACTAATCTGGAGAATTAACTATTAACCCCCTCCCTCCATCGCCATGAGAACCCTAACTATCACACATACTGCAGATAGCCCTCCATCTCCATGGTTACCACTGGCTGGCGGATAAAGCCTCTTTGGTTCCTTGTTGAAAATCAAGCTGCTGAACTTTCTTGTTGATGAGCATCTGTTGCTGGCATTGCTGTTGGAGGCAGCAGTTGTGGTTGATAGTGCCTGAAAGATCAAGTGCTGGTACAGTGGGCCCTAACTAGAACGCAAGCCAAACTCACACCAATTTAAACCCACACTGAGAGGCAGCAGGGAATGTTTTCAAATGAAAAACTTGAGGAGATGCGGAGGGGGGAAGAGACAGACATTCTTTAGCAACATTGTTCTATTTGGAGATCAACAACAAAGCCAACTTGTATATATTTATGTAACGCCCTTCACATAGGATAGAGTCTTGGAGTGCTCCACAGTGACAGGGTTCTTACATTTAGTTAAAAAAAATTACGTCGCAGAAGGAGGCCATTTGTGCCTGTACCAGCTCTTTGGAAGAGCTACCAACTAGTTCCACTCCCCCACTCTTACCCCATATCCTTGCAAATTTATCCTCTTCAAGTACCTATCTAATTCCCTTTTGAAAATTGTTATTGAATTGGTATCCACCACCCTTCCAGGCAGTGCATTCCAGGCCGTAACAACTTGTGTAAAAAAAAATTCTTCTCATCTCCCCTCTGGTTCTTTTGGCAATTATCTACGCCCCTGGTTACCGACCCACCTGGCTTGTGAGAAGAGGGAGAGGGAGGTGTCTATAGGTACAGTCAAAGAAGGTAGGGCTTAAAGTGGGATTTAAAGATGGATAAAGAAAGGGCGAGGCAGAGGGATTGAGGCAAGCAGTTCCAGAGTTAGAGGTGAGCAGTGATCTTGGACTGTGTGTGTGTGTGTGGAGGGGTTGCTGGGGGTGGCGAGGGGTTAAAGTTTTTATCTCCTCTCCATACTTTTCCTAGAAACATTGTTAAAGAAAGAGGCCATTCAGCCCATCATGTCTATGATTGTAAACTCCCTGCCCATGGTTATTTACTTTGATCTCATTAACCCCGCTCTTTCCTGATTTACTCAAACCGAGGACAGAGCTCAGCTCTCTCAAGTCAGAAAGTTGTAGGTTCAAGCTATTATTACTTTGAGCTTACAGTCTAAGCAGATACTCCAATGCAGTACTGGGGCAGGGCTGCATTATCCAAGGTGGTGTCTTTTGGGTGAGACATTAATACAAGATCTCATCTTGGGGTGGACATTAGGGATCCTGTGATATTGTCGGTCAAGGTTTTCCCAGCATCCTGACCAACAGTCCTGCAGAATAATTGATTGTTCACTTCATGGCTGCTTGTGAGATCTTTGCTAGGTGCAAAATAATTTTGCCTACAAAATAGTGACGACCAAACTTAATTACTTGGGAGTGTTTTGGGATGTTTCAATGTAATAAGCGGCTGTAAAATTGCAAGTTCCTTCTGTCCTGGAGTCCTGAAGCTCAGTGGTTAGAACACTCGCCTCACAAGTGAGAAATTTGGTCACTCAATCCATGGCTGTTTGTGGGACAATGCGGTGCACAATTTCCTATACAGTATATTCCATCAAGCGCTTTGAGATGCCTTTAAGATATGATAAGGCTATCAAGTGCAAGGATTATTTTATTGTTATATTCTGTGAATCTCACAAATTATTGATCAATCTATTGAACTAATCCATTTGCAGAATGAAGATGGGACAGTGAACCGGGATTTTAAGAGGACGAAAACCAAAATTCAAATCATGGAAGCTTTTCAAGAGTTCACAAAAGGAAACCAGGTTGTTCTGGTGAGTTTTGTCATTCCTGTTGCTTGTGGGATGGTTGGGAGGAGGATTGTGGAGGAATGCCCAGATTGAGGGCAGGGCGAAGCCTCAGGCAAGTTTCCTTACTCCAAACACCTCTGTTTACCTAGCAGTAAGTAGGAATCTGATTGTTAGTCGATTGGCAGATCACTTTTCCAGGGGTAATAATCCCTTCAAAAGAAAAAAAAAGTAATAATAATTTGGTCACTCAATCCACGACTGTTTGTAGGATACTGCTGTGTGCAATTGGCTGCCGCGTTTCACCCGTAGTCAATTCACTTTACAGTATATTTTGTGAAGAGGTCCCCTCCTCTTCACCCTCTATATGCTCCCCCTCGGTGACATCATCCGCAGACATGGGGTTAACTTCCACATGTATGCGGATGACACCCAACTCTACCTTTCCTCCTCTACCCTCAACTCCACGACCCCCGATGTCCTGACAGCTGTCTGTCCGACATCGAGTCCTGGACGAGAGAGAACTTTCTTCAGCTCAACGTGCGTAAAACTGAGGCCCTCCTGATTGGCTCACGTCAGCGCCTCCGCATGTCAGGCGCTGAGCATCAGCATCCAAGGCTGCACTCTCCACCTCTCAAAGCCAGTCAGGAACCTCGGTGTTCTGTTCGACCCTGAGCTGTCCTTTCTCCCTCATATCCGCGCCACAACTGGCACCACCTTCCATCATCTCCGGAATGTCGCCAGACTACGGCACTACCTCACCCCTCACGCGGCTGAAACTCTGGTCCACGCCTTTATCACCTCAAGGCTGGACTACGGGAACTCTCTCCTCGTCGGCCTTCCCGGCACCTCCCTCCACAAGCTGCAGGTCATTCAGAACTCTGCAGCTCCTGTACTGTCCCGCACCAGGCTTCGGGACCACATCACTCCCACCCTCGCTCGCCTCCACTGACTCCCCATCCCCCAGAGGATCGAATTCAAGATCCTCATCCTCACCTACAAGACCATTCACGGCCTTGCTCCCTCCTACCTCTCCGACCCACTATCCCCCTATCTACCTGCCCGTACCCTCCGTTCTTCTGGTTGCGGTCTGCTTCACCTTCCCCACCCCAACCACCCTACCATCGGTGGCCGGGCCTTCAGCCTCTCAGCCCCGAGTCTCTGGAACTCCATCCCCCAGTGCCTTCACCGCCTCCTCCCTTTCCTCCTTCAAGGCCGGTCTCAAGACCTTTTTCTTTGACCGTGCCTTCAGCTCCCCTCCTCGCTCCCTCCCTTCCCTCCCCTCCCATTTCCCCCCAATGCTCGGGTCCTGACCCAACTGTACAGCGCCTTGGGACGTCCTCCCGACGTGAAAGGCGCTCTATAAATGGAATCTTGTTGTTGTTGTTGTTGAAGTGCTTTGAGAGGTCTAGAAGACGTGATAAGGTGCTATACCAAATGGAAGGATTATTATTATATTATTGTAATGTGGTATGTTTCTCTCTCTATAGAGAAGGTACCTGGACCGGTTGAAGGATGTCCGAGAGGCACTGGAAGTTTCACCTTTCTTCAAAACCCATGAGGTATTCATATAAAACCCATGATATATATAATATATATATATATATATAACCCGTGAGGCTGTGTGTTCAGGATTGGACATTGGAGGGAGTAAGGGTGAGGGGATGGGGTCAGTGAGGAAATAGGTGAAGATGGCGAGGGGAGAGAGAGTGGGGTGTGGGGGTTACAGTGACGGTTCAAGACGATAGGGTGAGGCAATCGCTAAATTCAATGCGCGTTAATTAACATGTCACACGATTTGGACTTGATGATCCTCTTAGGCTTCTATCCTTTATATGTCTGCAAGGTACAAAATTGAAAGGCGCTGTGTGGTCAGACGAGTGGCAATGCCTTAAGATTTTTGGTCAAATATGGAATATTGGAGGGAAGCAGTGAATGACTCAGGGGTAGTGGGTCCTGTGTACACATTTCTATTTAGGGGTTGAAGGGGAGATAGCAAAAGATTTAAAGCAGGGCGCTTGTTTTTCTTTCCCTTTGCTTCTGGCACTCTCTCAATCTCTGTTTGTCTGTTGCTTGACTCTGCCTCCATGGTAACACCTCCAGCGCCCATCAAGATTGGCCAAAGAGCAACGCCTGGGAGAGCTTTCTGAACTCTGCTAATAGTCAGGCTGCTAGTCTGCCCTCCACCGGCAACCAACCACCAAAGGCTTCTTTTCAAATTCCCATCCCCTGATTCCCAAGGCCTGAAATTTCACCTTTATCCCAACTCCTTTTAGAGAAGGGGAAAAGAATATATCATAATAACAATCCTTGCATTTGATATAGCGCCTTGTCACATCGTTGAGATGTCTCAAAACGCTTCACAGGAATATTGTAAAGTGGATTGACTGTATTTTGTGTGCAAAAGTCAGTTGCACACAGTAGTGTCCCACATTTCGCCTACAAACAGTCGTGGATTAAGTGACCAATTTTTTCTTTTTTTTTGAGGGATTATTACCCCCGGAAAAGCGATAGCAATCGACTAACAACTGGGTTGCTACTTACTGCTAGATAAACAGAGGCATGTGGAGAAAGGAAACTTGCCTCGGTTTTCGCCCTGTCTGGGAATCAAACCTGAACATTGGACTGGGAATAGGAGGGGGAGTATGGGGAGACAAACAACATTGAACAAATAATCTGTTGATGCATTAAAAACATTTTCATGCCTGATGAAATCAGTCAAATATTTCCTTTGATAATATGTATTGATCCACGACTGTTTGTGGGACACTGTTGTGTGCAATTGGCTGCCGCATTTCGCGCACAAAATATAAAGTCAATTCACTTTGCAGTATATTCTGTGAAGTGCTTTGAGACATCTCGAAGATGGGATAAAGTGCTTTATCAAATACAAGGATTATTATTATTATTATTATCATCGAGTTCGCCACTATTTACAAATTAAGACTGAATCTAAGAATTCTTTCACAATTGTGCATGATCTTACATTATTATATCTTATATTCTTGCAGGCTAGGTCTAGAAAGAATTTTGGTCGTGTGAGTGATGCAGTGGCTCAGTTAAGAATAAATGTAACCTAATAACATTTCTTAATTATTATTGGTGATATTTAATAAATGGTACAGAAATCGCAATTTAAAATGTACCCTTTGGGACCTATAAATAATAATAATAATCTTTGCGTTTGATATATATCATGTCATTGAGATGTCTCAAAAATGCTTCACAGAATATATTGTAAAGTGAATTGACTGTATTTTGTGGGCGAAATGCGGCAGCCAATTGCACACAGCAATGTCCCACAAACAGTTGTGGATTGAGTGGTCAAATTATTATTATTATTTGGTCCCTAATAACCTGTCCCTAGTAATAACCAAATAAGCTTTTGTTTCCCTGTCAATGGTCTTTTAACTTGAAGAATTTTCTTTAAAAATCATTTTCAAGCCAGTATCTGCCAAACTACGAAATCCATGCTCTCCACAGCCCAATGACAGACTTCCTGATGTGCTTGGATCTTGCTGGAAGCCAATGGGAGCTAATGGAATGGGGATGGGGTGGGAGCTTGATGGAAGCTAATTAGGATTTGATATTAATAATATCAAATTTTATCAATACCCTTGCATTTTGATACATTTTGTATTTTGATACTTATGATGTTTCAAAACGCTACACAGCATTTATTGTAAAGTGTAGCGACTGCATATTGCAGACAATTTTGATAGGAGGCACAGGGAACTGATGATGGTTTGATGAGAGTGTGGGGGAGTTTGATGGCGGGGTTGAAGGCAGTCAATGGGAGCTAGATGGGATCCAATGAGAACCAAGGAGAGTTTGATGGAATCCTATGAGGGCTGTGTGCGTATACGTCTGTGTGTGTGTTATGTGAGGGGGGGAGCCAGTCCTCTTTCATGAACTCCATCAAACAAAATATACAACTCTACACCTCTACACAGTGATTCCTGTAAAACACTTTGAGTCCTCCTGACATGAAAAGCACGGTTTCAAATGTAAGGGTAATTTCATTATTATCAAGTCAGATGACCAGAATGGCCTGTTTCTGTGCTATGGACAGTATTATGCAAGTGCTGCTTTGAAAATGTTCAGGCGAGCTTGATTTGAAAAAAATGACATCTCCATTCCCCACTTTTGTCTCGTTCCTCCCCAAAGGTGATTGGCAGCTCCTTGCTGTTTGTGCATGACAGAAAACAACAAGCCAAGGTCTGGATGATTGATTTCGGGAAAACCACACCTCTGGCCGAAGGTCAGGTCCTCAACCACCGGTTGCGATGGTTGGAGGGGAACAGGGAAGATGGGTACCTCTGGGGCCTCGATAATCTCACGTCCATCCTGGAGGAAATGACCAAAGAGGAGGACTAGCCTTTGAACTGGACAATGTTCTTGGTACACAGCACTACAGGACGGTTAATCCTCACACAGAGAGAGACACATAGGCATAGGTACAGCACTTCCATGTTAGGAGCCCTTGTAGCTCAGTGGTTAGAGGGCTTGCCTCGCAAGCGAGAGGACCTGGGTCTGATTCCCAGGCAGGGCGAAACGTTGGGCAAGTTTGCTTATTCCACACGCCTCTGTTTACCTAGCAGTAAGTAGGAACCCGGTTGTTAGTCGATTGTCGTATCGCTTTTCCGGGGGTAATAATTGCTTCAAAAAAATAACTTGGTCACTCATTCCATAGCTGCCGCATTTTGCTCACAAAACATACAGTCACTTTATAGTATATTCTGTGAAGCTCTTCGAGACGTCTCAAAGATGTGATAAAGCTCTATATCAAATGCAAGGATTATTATTATTCTTATTAGTGTGTTTTGCGCAGTTGGTAGCATGTTTACCTCTGGGTTCAAGCTCCGAGTCACGACTTGAGTTTACGATCCAGGCTGACATTCCAGTAAGGTGCTGTGGGTGGGAGCGCTACATTATTTGAGATGCCATCTTTCGCATGAGAACTTAAGCTGAGGCCTTAGGCTGCCTGTTCAAGTGGACATTAAAGATCCCCATAGCGTTATTGGGAAAGAGAAGGGAGTTACTCCCCCAGTGCCTCACCCAACAAAAAATGCTCTACTTAAATGGCTGCTTTTTGGGATATTGCTGTGTGAAATATGGCTGCTGCATTTGTCTACAAAAAAAGTCACTACATGTGAGGTTACTCAACATTCCAGGTGCTATAGGTTTATTTTTTCCCCTCAGCCACCCTCGGCAGCAGGTCTGAGCCTGTAGTTTTAGTGGAACTTACGATCCACATTGTTATTAAGCGTGTGGGAAAGCCGGGTATTTGTGTGACAATCTGCTTGCCCACTGTCCCACATCAAGGACTGACTGGTACCTTGTAGATTAGATGGATTTTCACTCAGACTTTCCTACCACTGTGGGCAGCAGAGTCATGCAGCAGCACCCTCTGTTGGCCTGTTTTAGTATTATCTCTAATCCAACAGTAAAATAACAACAAACAACAAATTACATTATATGGCATCTTTCACATCGGGAGGATGTCCCAAGGCGCTGGACAGTCAGGGATTTGGACCCGCGGTGGGGGATGGGATCAGGGAGGGTGGGGGGCAGGGGTAGGAGGGTGGCCGAAGACGAGGTTGAAATGGAGGGTCTTGAGACAGGCCTTGAAGGAGGCAAGGGAGGAAGCGAGGTGAAGGGACTGCGGGATGGAGTCGCAAAGGCTGAAAGCCCGGCCACTGATGGTGGGGTGGGCCGGGCGAGGCGGGGGACATGGAGCAGGCCGAAGTCTGCTGAGTGGAGGGAGTGGACAGGAACATCAGGGCAAAGCCATTCAGTCCATTGATCCTTTTCCATCAGTTTATTAGATCATGGCAGATCTTTTAATCTCATTTCCCAATCATTGAGCAGATTTTTTCCGCAAAAGATTATAAAATTAAATATTTGCATTTTGGGAGTGCTTTGATCATCTCAAAGCGCTTCACAGGTAACTTTCAATTGTTTTGTTTGGTTCACATTAAATTTCCGGGTGTGTCTAACCTAAACAAAATAGTCTAGTGACAGCTTTGCTTCACAGGTAATTTGGGGTTGAGTGTTGTGACTTTTTGCAGCCATTTCGTGCATAGGAACTCCTCATACACAGTAATAAAATGGAAGACCCATTAATCTAAGGCAGGGGTCTACAATCATTGGTTGCTGCTAGATGCCGTCTCACACACGCCCAATAAAAACAAGAACAAGCAACATTTACTGCAGTTTCAACAAAAGTTTAAATTTGTATTTCTAAATACATAAAGTAGTTGTGCGTCTGGCTTTGTTTTGAATTTAGACTAAATATTTATGCAGTTCTATTGTTTCTGCTTCTTGTCTTTTTGATCACACGCAAGAGTGCCACCTAGTGTTGATGGACCTGGTTAGAGATCCCTGACACCAGGAGAAACTCCCTTCACTTTTCCAATAGTGTCTCGAGATGTTTCAGCGTTGACCTGAAGGACTGGTTTAATGTCTGTAGTGAAGTAGTGAGAGTCTCAGGTAGGAGTAGACCATTAGACCATCTAGCTGCCCCCATCCATGTTCGTAAAAGGCTCCTCCCACACATCTGTTGCATCATCTAATTATCGTAAAGCCTTTTGATTTCCAGACATTTGTTTAAGTCTTTTTTGAAACTCTTTATATAATTCCTAGTTCCACTACCTGTGCTGGGAGTATGTTCCACGTGCCTCTCACCATTTTACTGAAAGAATCTCTCTTGCACTTCCTATTTGCTTTTGTTGTCTTTACTTGGAAATTATATCTTCACACTTATTCCACCAAGTCACTGTGAAATGTTAATGCTCACTTGCTATGAGTTAAGGACTTCATTGGAATCATGTTGACCTGGACCTTTTTAGTAGTGCTCATTAACCTGTAAAAATGGAAACAAAAAATGTGATCTACCTTAAACTCACAGAACCATCACATGTAGAAACAGGTGAAATGTCTGTGCACGTATTCTTTTCCACATGAGCCACCCAGTCTAATTCGCCCTGAAACTCTGGAACTCTCTCCCTCTCTCCACTTTGCCCCCTCCCTCCCCATTTTCAAATCCCATCTAAAGGCCTTCTTTTTTATCGTGCTTACGGTCACCTCCCTCTCACCCTGGCTCGGCGTCCCCCCACCCCCACTATTAAGCGCTCTGGGACTCTACCCTGCGTGAAGGGCACTATTTAATTGCAAGTTGTTGTTGTAATTCACTCTCCTGCTCGCACCCAATACCCTTTAATATTTCTTCTCTTTATAATCGTTGATCTAATTATTTTTCAAAAAGAATTGATGAACTCTGCTTCAACCGTGGTTTGTGGACTTCTCAATTCCCCTCTGGATAAAGATTTTTTTCTCCAATCTCCACACCTTTAATTCCATTTTGTGATTATCCTATGTTTATCCCCTCCTCGCTCCCTCCCTTCCCTCCCCTCACCCTGACCATTACCCCCTGCTCGGGTCCTGACCCTACTGTACAGCGCCTTGGGACGTCCTCCCTACGTGAAAGGCGCTCAATAAATGGAATCTTGTTGTTGTTGTTATTATGGCCTCTTAGTACTATGTCCCCATCAGTAGAAATGACCTATTGCCATTTACCCCACTTCCCATCTATCTCAATCCCATTTCTTCCACAAAACACAAAAACAGCCCTTCTCTGGCTCCGAAGTGAAAGGAGTTTATATTCTCACAGGGTTCCCAAATGTAACCAAGTAAATACTCTGTATTCTCTCTCTTTCGCGCTCTCTCAGTCCAGTTATCTTTCTCTCTCTCTCCCCCGCCCCCCAACCCCCTGATATTTTCTTCATCCACCTTTCACTCAATTTCTCCTTCCGTCTCTCCTATGTACTGACTCATGCTCTCTCTCCATTAATCTTTCCCTTTCTCTTTGTCTCACTCAATTTCTCACCCTATTTTTCTCTTTGCTCCATCTCTCTCTCTCACGGTTGCTACTCTAAATTTGTTTTTTTTAAAAAATTAGCTTGGCCAAACTGTGAGTGACTGGAACATTCCATTTGGAGAAAACAGTAAAAGGTTCATATATATATAAAATATGTATGTAGTATATACACGGGGTGACCAAAAAGTCATGATATTTACCCTATTGTCTAAAAACAAACAAAAATATCAATTGTTTATTACTTATTTTACATTGTAATGGTGGTATGATGTTTTGGTCACCCTGTATGTAATATATATATATATATATATATGTGAAATGTTCCTCTTAATTTTTGTATTTATTTCTGTTATAGAGAACACTAAACAGGTGCATGGAGTTTTGTTTAGTTTAGTTTTGAAGTACTGCTAAGTTACACTTTGCTTTCACTGTTGCCAGCCGTGGACATGTTTGCCTCTGCAGCCCACTCCAGTTACCCCCAAATCCATTGACCTTCCATCACATGCTCACACAGAGAGGCGGGGGAAGGATGTGTACCATCCGAACACTTGCCTTCACTGAGCTTCACTGCTGCCCAGAACTTGGAGTCAGGATACTTCCTACTTGGGGGAATAACCGGATATAAATAGTGTCCGAGAGGAATTCTCTGAATTGAAGCGATGTGACCAGGTGGTTTCTGGTGTCAGGAGCCCCTGTTCAGTGATGGCCAGATTTCCAATCAATCCCTTGTTACATCTGACATTTGTTGTACATATATAGATGGTTTGGCAAAACAAATTCCTTCTGTGTCTGCGTTGGGTGAGTTGGGATGGGAATGCATCCATCTGTATTCGGCTACACCTTTATCAAGGATTCTTGGGAATATTGCCTCAACCTTGTATTTAGACTGTAAAATAAAGGCTTGTCCCAAACAATGGAAACCACTGCCCATTTTTATTAGTTTTCTTTTTCTGAAAAATTATTTTTGGTCACTTTTATCCCCCAACTCTTCCCCTCTTCTGCATATGCGGAGTCCTGTAGTTTAATGGTTAGAGCACTTGCCTTGTAAGCAGAGGTTCTGGGTTCGATTCCACGGCAGGGCGAAATGTTGGTCAAGTTTCTTTACACCACACGCCTCTGTTTACCTAGCAGTAAGTGGGAACCTAGTTGTTAGTTGATTAGTGGTTTGCTTTTCTGGGCTAAATAATCCCTTCAAAAAATAAATTTGGTCACTGAATCCATAACTTTGTGGGACGCTGCTGTGCACAATTGGCTACAATGTTTCACCCACAAAATATACAGTCAATTCACATTACAGTCTATTCTGTGAAGCGCTTTGAGATGTTTCAAAGATGTAATAAGGTGCTATATCAAATGGAAGTATTATTAATATAATCAGATACTGCGTTCGCATTGGATAGTCAGGTGTACAACACATGCCAGTGCTGACTACCCACACTAGAAAATAGGCAACTTTCAAGATTGTCAGATAACAGCTGACATTGCACATTACGCTGTGTGCAGGAAGCCTCACTGATATCCTTTCCACACGAGCATGAGGTGCAGCTGATATCACTTCAAGAAGTGGGGGAAGGGGGCAAGAAAAGAAAGGGAGCGTGAGTGGAATCACAAAGGGTACTTTACTGTCCCTCTGAGTTTGA